GGGACTTTCGTTTCTCCCATCCTCTCTCGTTGCCTTCTTTCCGCCGATAACTCTCAACGTAAAATTGGTTGGAATAAGGGAAGGACCTGCTTCCAATAAACATGTTCTTTAATAAAAATATGAGTTGGACCAATAGGATGGTGCCATGTCTGGGATGCACCAAAACATTCCCTAACTTAAACGCACCATAAAATTTTCCTTATTTTTATTTGTCTTGTTTACTCTACGAGCTTTGCCAATATATTTTTGTAACATATACATTGGTGAGTGCAATACAATGCATTCTATATGAAGATAACACATCATATGTTTGTCTCGAATTGCCTATTTTACAACTTATCGGAATACGCTCCTAACCAAGGTATACATCTAGAAACAAACTATTTGGGGAAAAAATCAATGATAAAGTTGACGAGTTAAAACGGGGGTTATTAAACATTAAGAGCCCGTTTGGTAGCACGAAAATCGGCTGTTTTGGCTGATTCTGCTGAAATTTATGAAATTCTGGCTAAAGTGGCTGTTTTGGCTGATTCTGCTGATTCAAGAAAAAAATATTTTAAAAATATATTTTATTAATAAATTATAGAAAAATTACATGTAAAAATAGCTAAAATAGTCCTCTACAGTAACTTCAGCCAATACAGCCAGAAAAGTAACTCCAACCTTACTTTTTCTGCTTATTACACAATTCAGCACACAAAAGTAAAAGTCAAGTGTTTGGTGAAAAAGCTGGTTGATAAGCCTTATAAGCCGAAAAAAGAGGTCTCCAAACGGGCTCTAAAACGAGATCTAAGATTTTTTTTATTTGATAGTGATGTGCTTGTATTTTACACACTTTTTAGGTTTAGTTTGTTGTTAATTTTAGTTATTAAAGTTCTGCATTTGTACATATTTTTATTAGGAAAAATTGAAAATAATAATCCCAACTATCGCCGGTCCGCTAACAATAATCCCAATTATTGATTATTTTTGTATAATCCCAACTATATTGACCATCCGCCAATAATGGTCCATGACCAAATATTACCTTCTATAAAAGTGAATTTTAAATAGAAATTAAACGTAAAAATTAAAAGTTGAGATTATTTATAGAGATTACTTGTTATATCTCTTCTCATCCACTTCAGAAAGTACATGAATTTATTTACAGGGACTGTTATTGGCGGAAGGACCCTAAAGTTGGGATTATTCTAAAATAATCGATAGTTGGGATTATTATAAGCGGACCGCCAATAGTTGGGATTATTACAATCAATTTTTCCTTTTTATTATTTGTCGTTAATTTGTACTTGTGCAGTCAGTCCTACACGAGTATTTTGTATTTTCAGGTACTTTTGATGCTACTTGGATACATTTGAGTGTGAAGAAGAGAAGAAAATAAAAATTCAAGTAGGAAGACAACAAAAGTTGGTCCCAAGACTCCCAAGGTAGAAAGAACGCACGCTGAACCGACGCGTTGGGTGTCAAAGTTGAGATGGCTTAGCAAGAGCTTGTTTTAATTGCATCCCATCACAGCAAGGAAAAGAAGAAAAATAGAAGTCAAAGCACAAGATCGAACCCGCAACCTCCGTGTCACAACAGCTCTCCATCACCGTTGCACTGCTACGCGTTATTGGTACTTGTTATTGGTACTTGGATGTGTTTTCTTGTACATATACTCTTTGGTTCCGTAAATTCCAGCAGATTAATGATTAATAGCCTTATCATTATATAGCCTAATCCATCTCCCTCCACACATAATCTCGAGCCAACTTCTCTCTACACCTCCCAGAATCATTTCCTCCTCCTTCTCTCTTCATCCTTCACCTCCAAATCATCAACCCGTCTTCAACATCAATTAATCACTTTCTCAATCAAGATTAAGTCAAGATTAACACCAAGCTCCAAGGATTGTCATCTATCACAAGTTTGATCTTCCTTGTCTCTTTAAATCTTATACTTTAATCATGAATTCATCTATTTCTAAGCTTCCCAACATGTATAGCTAAATAAATTTGGGGCTAGAAAATTGTTAATTAATTGTTCTTATCATGTTTTAATTTGTATTGATTTTAATTGTTAAGTTTGTTCTATATAGATTGTTGTGTCCAGAAAATTAATTATGTTGTGTTTGTGATATATATTATGAGTACTCGATCATAAACATATTGTTTGATAAATACACAAATGAACACTTTCTAAACACACCGTTAAACTTCTTTTACCTTGTCCCGGATTGAAGTTTTATGGGAGAATTTAATTATTTAATTATATTATTTACACCACGGGGTTGGGTAAATAATATAGTTAATAATTAAGGTTGTCGTTGCACTTAAACAATTAGTCTCGTTTTGGCCATTACTGGAAATGTTGACTAGTTACTTATTTTAGATGACTTGTGTTGGGTCCTAAAATATTTATCTACAACTTCTCACATTCTATCTACGAATAAAATTAGTAATTATTTCTTTCAATTAAACATTGAACAATTAGTTACCAATTTCTACCCTTACTTGCTATTGGTTGAACTTTGTGTTGATAAAAATCTCTCATTTCAATCATTTTTATTTTATTACTTTTCCAAGCAACCAAAAAATCAAAAGAAACGCATTCCCAACTTTAATCCTTAGTTTGTGCTTAATTATTTTATTTCCCGCTTCTCTGTGGTTCGAGTGTTTGACACCCTATTTTCTTGGGTAAAAAATAGTTGTGTGCCCATTATATGCTACACACCAGATAGCGGTGAATATTTAAAGACCACATGGTTAGATGTATCTAAACAAGATAAAATAGAAATAATAATTTATGTTTGGGGCAACATGTTAAGAAATATATCAACATTCATTTATAGAGAGAATTCTCTAAATAGGAGTAAAACATTTTGAAATAGGAGTATCATATTTTTTATTCCCTAAATAGGAGTAAATTTCTGCCAACTTTGGCATTACAAGGCTTTAAACATGGCATTTTTTTCCAAACTTGGTAGATTACTCCTATTCGGAGAATAAAGAACACGATACTCCTTTTTGGAATTTCAAAACGTTTTTACTCCTATTTAGGGCAATTTCTATATATTTTTATGTTCTTTCATTTGACACCAATGTTGCATGTATAGTTTTAAAAACAAATTGAAGAACATGTGGTGTCTAATTGAAATACCAAAATTCAAAATTATTTTTCTAATCGTGATTTATTTCCCACAAGACCAAGTTTAGGCTAAAAAATATATGAGATCAATATTACATTAGTGATGGACTCGGGCCGGGCCAACCGGCCCGGAACCGGACCGGCCCGCTACTGTGCGGGCCCGGACCGGCCCGGTCAACCGGTTCGGTTCCGGTTCGGGCCTCCCGGCCCGGTGGTATACCGGTCCGGGCCCGGGCCTCCAGTTTAGTGAACCGGCCCGGCCGGGCCGGGCCGGAATTTAATTTTTTTTTTTTTTGAAATTTTTTTAAGTTTTGGGTTGGATTAGGTATTTTGGGTCATTTGAGGTGGTTTGGGGTGGTTTGGAGTGGAGGGGGAGGGGTAGGGGGTTAAATAAGAGAAGAAGAAGAAAAAAAAAAACATTCCGGGTGGCCCGGCCCGGCCCGGCCCGGTTCTGGCCCGGAACCGGAACCGGAACCGCCCACCACCGGTTCGGGCTCGGGCCTCTTTTTTCTGAACCGAGGCCCGGCCGGGCCCAGGCCCGAACCGGGCCCGAACCGGAACCGGTCCACCCCTATATTACATACGTAGTATATAACATTAGAAAAAAATTGAAATGTCTATTTCACCAGACCAAGTTTAGGCTCAGACTTTTCTTAACGTTATATATGCAATATTGATCTCATATGATAGACTATAAAAATTACTATGTATGAATTTTGCTATAATATTTTTGTGTACGCTTAGTTTGGTGAGAAAGAAATTTCAATTGGAGATACTGAGATACAATTTTGAATTTTGATATTTTAATTGAACACCACATGTTCAATTAAAATTATATATTAAACATTTGTGTCAAATGAAAGATCACAAAAATTATGAATGTTTATATATTTTTATATAAATTGGAGCAAAAATAAAAAAGATATCCATTTAAAGAAAATAAATGTTTTTTTAATTTGAGATCCCATCTTTGAGGTTGGCATTTGGATTGTTGCGATGAATTCACAAGCTTGTACGTAAGTCACCACTCAATCCTATTTTCATAATTATTTTTAACTCAATCCTATTTTCATAATTATTTATCTAATTTGCATTAACTCGGAAAAACTCCATGAAGTATCCTTCAATATACTGAGTACCGTTTTACCGAGTAAAATATACGGAGTATCAGAGTATCATTTTTGAATACAATTGCTGACAAAACATTATTAGTATTTTAGCATAGTGAAGAACATATATTTTTAATTTTTAAAATATATTTATATACTTCCTCCGTATTTTAAAGTTTGTTACACTTTCCTTTTTTAAATATATTTAAAAGTTTACCACACATTCCCTTTTTGTTAAATTTTTCCATTAAAAATACTCAATTACTCTTACCTTTTCTATTTTTTATTTCTCTTTCATACTTTTCCACTCTCTCTCATACTTTTACCACACTATTCATTACGCCTACTATTTTACCCTTAAATCTTGTGCTCAAACCTATTGTAGAGAACATTGCAATACGGAGGAAGTATGTTCATTACTATAAAATTCTACTTCATCCGTCCCTTATAACTTTGCCAACTTTCTTTTTTTGGATGTCCCGTTAACTTTGCCACTTTCTCTTTTAAGTAAATAATTTGTGGTTCCAGTTAATCCTCTCTCCTTTGCACAAGCCTCAACCACAGAATTTTTACTTTATTAATCCTAATGCCGATCAAACTGACAAAGTTTTTAGGGACGGGGGAGTATATAACAATTGACCATGTTTTTGAGCATTGACCGGGTTGACCCGTCACCCGATCTTTCATCCGGGTCGCTTCCCAATTCGATTTTTAAAACAACGAAAAAGAACAAAGGATTAAATGAGTAATAATGTACAGTAAGCCAGTAAGGTATTAACTCTACGAGTATATAACTAAACATGATACAAGTTTAGCATAAAAAGTGTAGTAGGACAAACTACCTGTGAAGTTCAGGCCAGGCCAGACCAGTCCAGGCCAGTTCAGACTAGACTTGAATAGTTATAAAAATACAAAGAAGCCAGACCTTAACAGACCAGACCAGACCAGCAAATTACAGTCCAAGTAAAAACATCTTTATTCATAAGTAAGCAAAGGGTAATTCTATTGACAACACCCAAATTACTATGTACAACCACTAAATTAAATACGATAGTATTAATTAATTAAATTAACTCAAATATCTGAACTGCCCTTATTATAAAACACAACCATCATTATACAGTTATACACATCATCGCTAAATTCAGCCAATGCCTCTGCTGCGCAAGTTCTCATACTTGAAATGCTGAAACCCTTTGCCAAAGTTCCACGATGATGAATTCAATTTTCAGCTTCATTCAATTTGATCAATGAAGTTATCTCGCACCCTGCATCAATAAAATAGGCAAAAAGAGCTTTATGATTTGTTGTACAATTATCACACACCTTGCAGAATCTATGAAATTTGAACGGAGACTAAAAAATTCTTGATACAAACATTAGTGTTGGGAATAAACCATGTGTTGGAAAAATGACACCATGTTCCAAATCCGAATGGTATACCTTCCAAGAATCAACTTTCAGAGGCCAAATAACAAGAGCTACCATTATCCCCACATAATTGCAACCCAAGTTCTAATTTGCTTGTTTTTTTTAGTTTATTCAAAATAATAAGTATATTTTCTAGTACTTGAATTTTACTTCTATGTTACCAATTCAATTATCATTTTTTAGCACAACTGCAATTATCAGTGCAGAAAACAAATTGAAACTATGTCAAGAGATAATTTCTTAAGAGCTGCTCCTCTCACCTACAATGTGTCTTTCCTTATTCTCAAAATTATGTATTTGTACCAGAATATAGGGTTGTGTAGCAAATTGGAAACATTTTAGACTTGACTCCGCAGTCGAGTGGGAGACCCCATATTCAGTTCATATTAAGGATTTTAGTGGCATACTTTCAACACATGTGGGTGGTCCAAGTGAGGAAGTTATTAACGTTGAAGAAAACAAATAGGTACATTGTATGAATGGGAGAAGGCCTCACTCACATTCATTGCATCAATTGGAGTATATGGCTTATGATTGAAACAGACTAATTTTCCAGATATTACATTTCACGAATGAAATAATACATGATTAAGAGGTTGTTACTTGGTGATGGGTTGGGGTTAGTTATTTGAAAAGCTTGAGCTAATTCAGTAAGCTTTCTCAAGTATATTTTTCAAACCAGCTACCTGAACTCTAGTTTGTAGTTCCAGTTCAACCTCATTTTCTAAAGAAGATTTCTAAGGCATTTTTTTATATATGTTATTGACTAATTTTATCAGGTAAATTTTACCAGATAGTATAGCAGCTAGCTTGTATAGGTGTATACTATAACAACTGAAAATCTATGGAGTTTTAATTTATAATTTAGTAAATGAATAACCTTGTTTTAACCTTGCTTGTTAAGCAAAAGATTAAATGGGCATTTCATCTTCCATGCTCTTCGTGACCTAATAAAATGCCAAACCAAGTAAACCTATACAGCTTACATTAAGCCCAAAAAGGAAAAAAACTACAGTTTAGTTAAGCCGTTGAATTTACTACTAATATGTGTATTTAATCATAGAATATACTACGAGTACTACTTTACTACATCACTCCTTTGAGCCGCTCTTCTCCATTGTCCATTTGACAGTACATATTAGGAAAAAGTTGTATTTACTACTACATCACAAAATTTATTACAACAAACTGGATTTTTAGGGAATAGACTCGATAGAAGCATAGTGAAAAAACCAAATAAATCTGATTATCATCAGGAAATAAGACTTACTGCGTAGATTTGAGTCTCATGTTGGATATGGACAGATTGTCAATCTCAGTAACCACCAGGTCCTTACGGAGGAAGACTAGAGTTCCATCTGCAATATTAACAGGGATAAGAACCAAGAGAGCTACAATAGCTACTGGTCTGGATATTATTAAACTGTCAAAGACAGATAATTCATTACTTAGGAATAAAAAATAAATGAAATTAAAAATATAAAATAAATAAATGCACAACACACATACAAATCGTCTTAAAATAAAGCCTGCATTAACCTCCATCCACCAGAATTGACCTTCATCAAAATAAAGTTGCACCACATTTACCACTTAACAAAATAATTATCCAAATAATATAATGGAAATTACAACATCTCAAATAACAATCCTTAACATGGAAATAAGACTTGTCTACTCGTGTTAAAAAAACAGAACTTGTAAAGATAGGTAAATAGTGTTTCAGATTTGGGATTTCAACAGTCTAAAGTTTGATACGATTACATTATCTACCAATTTCAGTTCATATATGGATATTTGAAACCAGATCAAAAATTTCTTCCAAACATTTGAACAGACCGGAAGTAAAAGCAAAGTTAAGATGGAGCGAAGTAAATGAGTAATACTTACCACTACCATACATGGCATGTTTAAGGAGCCTTAAGAAACCATGGGATGCTGAGATGGAGCATCGAACTCGAACTAAATGGAAGTATCAATGGAATTGTGTGCTCCTTACTTGTGCCCTGTGGGTGGTTGCGAAGACTTGCTGACTGTGGATATATCCATGGAATCATCTCTCTCATCTGGTGTGTCATTTCGATTTGCTGGCTGAAGGAAGAAATGAGATATGGATCTTGCTTCTTCTCTTCACTCTCATTCTGTAAACTTTAGAGCTCAGACATGTGCAGTGGCGCGTGGTGGATGTGTGTATAAGCATGAAGCTATGAGTACATGTCCAAAAAAACTGAAATGGCATTAATATGAATTAGAATTGAGACGGCATTAATATGAATCAAAACTGAGACAACGTTATAATAAGGGTAAAATTGGAATTACACCGTAATACGAAAGTGTGTGTCTGTAACTAGCAATCCAAGCCGGCCCACTTCTTAAATTCCTTAACATACTCAATCCTCTTTTTCTGCACCTCATTTTTCGCATCAAACACCTTCATGCGACGATAAAGACCCTTGTGATACTTCAGGAATTCATATTTAAACATCCACTTGTCTAGGTACATATTGCTTTCCTTCATAAGGCCAATTACCTCCATCACCCTCTCAAAATAACCACCCCGAAGAAAGCTCAACAATATCATCTCATACAAACCGCAGTTTTTCAAGGCCACACCATTCTCTATGCTCCTCCTTATATCCCCCCATAAATGTGTAATTTCACGATACATCCCCAGAGACGAATAACCGTGAATTAGATTGACATAAGTTGCGACATTTGGTTGGATCTTCATCTTTTTCATTTTTCTGTATGCCGTTTTGGCATCACCTAGCATTTGTGCCTTCATGAAGAAATAGATAGAAGAATTGAATTTATACACCACAGGAGAAGTTATCTCTTCTTTCTCCTGTTGTCTTATATCCCGGGCTAAAAGATTATTCACATCGGATTTCCCTGAACAAGTTTGTTTTTGTAAATCACATATTCCTCCATCATCTGCTTTATGAAGATGTTTTAGCACCAATTCAGCTTCCCTAAACATCTTTAGGTGGTGATAGGCTGACAAAAGAGACATGTAAGAACTTTTGGCCAGTCGATTTCCTTCCAAATCTAAGTCGTCCAGAATGTCATGGGCAGTTTCAAGCCATCCAAGAGACACACATGCATCAACCACATCATCAAGTATGTTTCTAGTGGAACTTGGTGGTAGGGCCTTGTTGATCCTACATAGAAGCTTTGACAAGTCAGTTATTCTCCCACATTTCTTATACTGTAGCATGAGCTTGGCAAGGGCTTTCTTGGTGAGAAGAAACCCCCCTTCTTTATTACAGGTGACAAACCTGTGATTGGGTCCCACATTGTCAAGAATGGTGTCCTTCTGTAGTAAGTAAGGCACAACACATAGTGTTAACCCCTTCTTAAGATGGTGTGATCCTCCTAGTGGGACCAGGCAAGGTTTAACAGGTTCCTTCCTGTCATACGGGGCATGGCCAGATACATACATATTCAGTATAAGTTCAGAAGCGGAATCAATATCATCAAACTTGAAATGCAAGCTCAATAGGCTTTCATAGAACTGTCGATAGTGACCCATCAGATTACCAAGCGGAAACCGATCAATATGCTCTTTAAATTTCATAAGTTCATCTCGTGTACCATTCATCTGATGAATTAGAGAAATGCATGTAATGGTTTGAACATCAGCTGTAACTGCAACTTGGGCCATCAGCTCAATGATACATTGGCCTTTGATAGATGACCCAAACCTCACACAAGCATCAAGAACAATGTTGAAAATCATAGTGTCGGGTTTTGTGCAGAATTTCCCATAAGTGGTAGGCTTGTTTGTGGTGGATTGTTGAAACACGTCACAAATCTCAAACAAGGTATTTGAAGCAAGGACCATTCCGTTCTCTGTTTTCACTAAATGAAGAAATATCATTTGTAAAATATTAGATGGTGGTAATCTCTTTTTAAGGAGAATCATTCTAAGAACCGTTGACGCCCGAATAGGCATTTGGGCTCTTGCCAGTGAAAGGGAAAGCTTAGTCATTAAGTCCAGCTGAAGTAACCCAAAATTATCCTTCTGAATAGAAATGACCAAATTGCATGCCTTCTTAAGCCAATAGGAATCGGACGAATAAGCCATCTCAGTTACCAACCTGGTCACAAGAGAGTGGTCAGGGAAACCATATAGGCGCTTGAAATCTTTGTAAGTATCCCAAGCCTCATCAATATTGTGATGCATTAAAGCGACTTTAAGGTTTGTCAGTAAAACATCCTGGGAGGATCCTTGCCAACATAATTTTTCTGGTTTCATATCAGTAGATAAATTCCCAAAACAATGGGCTTGACTATGCTTACAATATTCATACGAGAAACATAACCTACTGGCCATGTACATAAGGACATAGCTTCTGTTTGAACTCACTTTCAAGGCACTACTGCTACTGGTACTTGGAGTCACACGGAGCACTGACGAGTAACACCTAATCAGAGTGAGGTGTGATAAATATTTTCTTAATGTGGGAGCCATCCAATAGAACTATTTAAGCACACCATATATTTCAGGCTGAATGCTCTTTCCAGCAGCATTTAGGTACTTCAAACTGCACAAATAATCATCATAAAGCAGTGGATTAAAAGACAGGAAACAAAACATAGTTAATGAGTAGTTTACTATTTAAGACATTACAGAAAAAACACAGTGATTGTCTGTTACATTAAAAACACCATTAAGGATGACTCCAAAATCTGCAACATCGTTAGAATTGGAACTGAAAATGTACTAGACAAATATATAGCATGATGGCATCCATATTTGACTGCTACAAAGCATCAATAAGTAGTTAGTATTAATAACGCCCTACCTGAGAAATTATTCATTTAGTTTATCCATGTGCAATAATCTGAATTTCCAAATAACCCTTCATACGTGTGTATCTCAAAACAATGTGTTGGACTATGCTTATCACATTCAAACGAGAAACATAGCCTACTTTTCATGTATTTAAGGGCATAGCTTCTGTTTTGAAGTCTCTTTCAAGGTACTAATACTACTGGTAGTCTGGTACTTGAAGCCATATCAGTGGCGGATCTAGCCCTTATGTTGGGTGTTCAAAACCAAAGTAAAATTAAAATGACAAAATTCCTTTAGTAAGAGTAAAACATAGGCAAAGTGCATTAACTCCTTACTGGGGAAGTTTTATGTTTTCAATAGAACAAAATAAGTCCTATTTTGGGAATAAAGCATAACTATTCATATTTGTGCAATTTTTGTCTATGTTTTACTCAAATTTCGAGCAATTTCTTAATTAAAATTAAAAAAAACACAATAATCTTTCACCAAACGTAAAGACACCAGTATATTTAACCAAACATTCAACAAAAGTATACTGCCACAGCTGACATTTACTGTTTTACAGTTAAGAGTTGAGACATTCAAGCAGACTTGAGGTATAAATGTAGAATACTATACTCCGTATTAGAAAGGCAAACTAGGCATCAGGAAGCAATGGGGACTGGGGTTTGGAAAGGGTATCTACGGATTTCAGATTAGGATTACAGACTTTAGGTTCTAAACATCTAATTTCTGAATGAAGAATTGAAGAGGCTAACCACTAACCCGGAATGGAGGGATGGAGCCGTGGATGGCTGGACTGCTGGAGGTGGTGCGCCGCCGGGACGGTGCCGTGATGGAGCCAGGAGATATTCGCGATTGCCGACTGCAACTCTGCAAGTCTGGAACGCCGTGTCACTGCGAGTCTGCGACAGCCGACAGAGCCACATGCGCACAGAGAGAAGACGGATGGCGGGCCGTCGAGCGGGGGACTGAAGGAGGAGGATCGAGGATTAAAGGAGACAAGGACTGGCAGGAATGAGGAAGAGCTAGCGGGGGAGAGGAGTGATGGACTCATAGGCTGGAGGAAGAAGACTAACGGCCTGGATTGAGCGTTGAGGAGTGTCAGTAATGGATTGAGTGTTGAGGAGTGTTAGTAATAGAAGTGTTAGTAAGTGTTGATGCTAACACTTGTTTGGGAGAAAAAACCAGAGGTGTTAAGAAGTGTTAGTAATGGTTAGGAAGTGTTAATAATAAACTTCCCAACACCTCAATTGTCCATTTTTTTAACACCCCGATTTGGAGTGTTTTGGGGTGTTGGACAATTATTACTCTTCTCATTTGCCCGAAAAACATAAAATGTTTCGACATTTCATTTCGAATGTCTTTCCCACGGGTCTGATGGTTTGTTTTTTCATCTCTTCTCTTTACTCTTTCTTTACTCTTTCTTTAACACTTCCATTATTAACACTTCATTCATTTGACTCTCCCAAACAAGGTAAAATTATGTCTAACACTTACACTTCCCTTCCCTTCCGAGCCCTTACTAACACTTACTAACACTTCCATTACTAACACTTCCAAACACTCCATCCAAACAGGCCCTAAGGTGCTGTTCGGTTCGTCTTATTCTTATTACTTATTGCTTGTTCTTATTTTATTCAGATCAAATCAGATCAGATCAGATCAGAAAAATTCAGATCAGATCAGAAAGATTCAGATCAGATCAGATCAGATCAGAAAGATTCAGATCAGATCAGATAAGAAAGATTCAGATCAATTCAGACCAGATTAGAAACATTCAGATCAGATCAGATCAGAAAAGTTCAAACATGATTTATCACTTTTATTATTATATTAATTATTATTATTAATATTGTTATTACTATTATGATTATTATTATTATATAATTATTATTAATATATTAATAATAATATGATAAAGAAATAAGATATTAATAATAGTTATAATATTTTAATATAATAATAGTAATATAAATGCAATTATTAAGAAGACTATTATTATTATTATTGTTATTATTATTACTACTACTACTACTATTATTATTATTGTTATTATTATTATTACAATATAATAATAATAATATGATTAATATTATTGTAATATTATATTATAATTATATGTAATTATAATTATAATTATAATTATAATTCTTATAATTATAAGTACAATCAATTGTAATTATTATAATTATATCTATAGTTAATTATAATTATAATAATTATAATTATAATATAACATTATAATAATATAGTAATAGTGTAATACTAATAATAATAATAATCGTATTATTATTAATATATTGTAATAATAATATTAATATAATAATATCGTTATGATAATATTAATTGTATTTATAGTACTATTATTATATTATAATATTATAATTAATGTTAATATAAATATAATTATTATTAATTATAATTATAATAATTATAGTTATATTATTATATTATAATATTTTAATTAATGTTAATATAATTATAATTATTATTAATTATAATTATAATTATAATAATTATAATTATAATTATATTATAATTATAATTTATGATTATAATTATTATTTTTATTATAATAATAATAATTATTATTATTATTATTATCACTACTACTACTACTTTTGTAATTATTTTACGGAGTAATTATAATAATATTGATAACTATAGTTACAATTATAGAGATAAATATTGTAATTATAATTACAATTATAATTATATAAGTAATTATAATTAAAAAATATAATTACAGTTATAATTATATCTACAATTATTATTATTATTTAAATACAATTATTATTATTATTATAGTTACGATTATAATTATAATTTTATTTAAATTATATTTGTAATTGCAATTATAATAATTATAATTATAATTATAATCATAGAAACATTCAAATCAGATCAGATCAGAAAGATTCAGATCAGATCAGAAGGATTCAGATCAGATCAGAAACATTCAGATCAGATCAGACCAGATCAGAAACATTCAGATCAGATCAGAAAGATTCAGATCAGATCAGAAAGATTCAGATCAGATCAGATCAGATCAGAAAGATTCAGATCAGATCAGATCAGAAAAATTAAGATCACATCAGATCAGAACTTAAAAAATTCAGATCAGAAACATTCAGATCAGGCGAAGAGAACAGCTTCTAAGGGACTGTTTCCTTACAACTTGATGGACTTAATGGAGACTCGTTTTAATGGTTCAGCTATATGACTGTGTTTACATATGACTTTATTAAAATTTTGACTTATTCGCTAAGTCGTTTTATGTCTGATTCGTTCAGCAACATTTTAGTACTCCTTGCTATTCAGACATATAAATTGATCCGAAGGTCTCTTTTTTACCCTTGTTCTGACGCGAAGGGGATTTTATTGCTGGACTTTGCAAGTTACAACTATTCTTCTTCTCCTCCTGTCAAAAAATCAGCCAAGCACACCAGCGAAGAAAGCTTTCATGGCCGACCTTCATTTTCAAAATTGTTTGTTAGAATAGAAATTTCTACTTTTTGTTGTTGCACACCCAATTTTTTGCAGATAGCGTTTTTATTCTTTTTGATCCATTCGTTACCGTACAATAGCAATTGTTTAATCTTGATTGGAATTTTAATTTGGGTGCAGTTTAAACTTGTCAAATGTTCGAGTATCCAATTTGTTTGCTTTGTCAAAATTACTTTTTGGGTGTGGTATCCTATTCTTCATTTCTTTGACAGATTAATAGGGCATTTTTTTTGCATTTATTGGGCAACTTTCTCTTCATTTAGGTAATTTCTTGAGTGGGGTTGCACAAAGCTTATAATATTTGAAGAATTTGCTAGAAGAAATTGATTAGTAAAATTGTTGTGTTTTGTGTTTAAATAATTCACAGAGAATACGAGCTCAAACACTTGTTGTGGAAAAAGGATAAAATGGTTATTTAGCACACTCAGATAACTTATTCAGCATATAAAGTAAACAACTTGTAATCTTAAATTCACTTAATCCAGACAGACATCTTAATCCATACAGACGTCTTAATCTACACATGACTTAATGGAAAAAAAAAATAAACAACCCCTAAGTTATTTTGGCACTATGAGCTAAATTAGACTATTGTCTAGACTATTATCTAGAGCTAAATTTTGAAGAACTTGGTCTGAACTACTAGCTAAATTAAATAAATTTGTATGGCAAAACAGCTGAAAAAATGACTGGAAAATATAAAATTACATTAAAGGGAATATAGTATATTGATGGAAACTACTCCGTATATTAATTTTTGCTTCTATTTGCCGTTCAACTACAATGAATTTAATAGCCTAATACTCTCTCTGTTTCATTTTATTTGACATAGTTTGACATGTCAACATTTAAGGAATTGTTTTACTTAGGGGTAAATTTTATTGTTTGAGCACTGTTTGGACACTGTTTGGCACTGTTTGAACACTGTTTAGACACTGTTTGACACTGTTTAGACACTGCTTTGAACTGTTTTGTACTGTATTGTTTACCAAATGGGAAGTGTGGCATTCATTTTGAAACGTCCAAAAAAGAAAAGTGTGTCAAAGAAACCGAAACGGAGGGAGTATTAAACTAGGAATACTTTGTATCTTTGGAAACTTTTATTATTATAAATATATCTGTCAGGTACCCTATTGAGGAACCTTTGCCATTATTTCACATGGTATTAGAGCCAAATCGATCCATGGTGTAGAGCCCCTTATGACACTATTATTAAAAAATGACAATTACGACCGGATGAAAAAAACGGACCGATGAAAAAAAACGAATGATGACACGATCCAGACAAAAGTGTCTGGTTGTGAGGAGGAGTGTTAAATGTCCCACATCGGAAAGATTTGGATGAACGAAGTGCTATATTAACACATGGGTTACTCCTCCTAACAGGTTGACCTTTTAGGATGGAACTCTGTGTCTTAACATGGTATCAGAACAATTGATATGGCGTAAAAATTAAAAATAAACAATTGATCTGAGGCAAATAAACAATTGATATGGCGTAAGGCTATGGTTGAGGAATTTAATGCACTTATTGCTAACCACACTAGGGATTTGGTACCATTTGATAATTCTAAAAATATTGTTGGATCTAAGTGGATTTGTAAGACAAAATTTCTTTCTGATGGGTCTATTGAGAGCCACAAGGCACGGTCAGTTGCTCAAGGTTTTAATCAGCAGGCTAGTGTAGATTTTTCTGAAACTTTTAGTCTTGTTATTAAACCCACCACTGTTCGTACTGTTCTCACTTTAGCTATTTCATTCGGGTGGGTTATGCGTAAGCTCGATGTTAAAAATGCTTTTCTTCATGGTCATCTCACCGAAGAGGTCTATATGCGTCAACCGCGGGGTTTTATTCATCCTCAGTATCCTTATCACTTGTGTCGTCTGTGCAAGGCTATTTATGGTCTTAAGCAGGCCCAGCGGGCATGGTTTCATAGGTTCAGTAGTTTCCCGCTTCCTCATAATTTTTTTTTAATGTAGTAAGTCGGATAACTCTCTATTCATTTACCGCCAGGGCACTTCGATTATTTATTTGCTATTATATGTGGATGACATTATTATTACAGGCAATTCCTCGTCTGTTGTCACTCAGCTCATTCAGCTTGTTGCTCACCATTTTGTCATGAAAGACTTGGATGATCTTCATTATTTTCTTGGCATTCAGGCCATTCGTAATCGTAAAGGTCTGTTCCTCTCTCAGCATAAATATGTCTCTGACCTTTTGTCTCGTTTTAATTTACACACTGTCAAGTCAGTTCGCACTCCTCTTGCGTCTCGCACTTCCTTATCTCTCACTGATGGCGTGCTCCTTGCAGATGCGACTGAGTATCGCAGTATGGTAGGTGCATTACAGTATTTAACTTTGACAAGACCTGATATTACTTGTGCCGTGCATTTAGTCTCTCAGTTTATGCATGACCCACGCACCACTCACTTTTTTGCTGTCAAGAGGTTTTTTAGATATTTGCAGGTTACCATTGATCATGGTTTATGGCTTCAGCCTACACCTAAGGCGACTTGCATTGTGGCATACTCAGACGCCGATTGGGCCGAGTGTCCCGAGACCTCTCGTTCCACCACCGGTTATGCTGTTTTTT